GGTCAGTCAATTGCGAGAACTTTTTGACTTCTTTTCTTAGAAAAAATCCAAATTCTGCCCTGGCAAGCCCAAGGCCGTGGAGTTGTTTGGTAATGCTACTACGTCTGCTATTGGTTCATTACCCTCTGGTTCCAGACCGAGGCGAAGGATGCACCGAGGGAGTAATCGAGTGTTGCTGGTCGAACGCCTGTAACGCCAGTCGCGGTTAACTTAAATATGTAAGTTCAGGTGAAGTGCAACCACGAAAAGCCGCAATAAAAATCGTTCGAAGGCACCCTTCTTGTGGAATACTATTCAAAGCAGGAAGGACCACAAGACGTGTTCTAAAAACTTGGTATCAATTATTGTGTATTTTCAGTCAGTAACAAGCCAAGAACAAATGTAAGGGAGCTCTGTCGGGGGAATTCCACCGCCTTAGCCTAAAAATGAGGGGGCCGTGCATGTGGGATCCACCTTCTTGTGTTTAAGTTCAACTCTGCTGACATTCCGGAGGCTTTTCATTGCTACCTCCCTTCTTCGTCCTAGGGTGTTGTTGCTGAATAGGTAAAACATGAAGTTAGCTTGCTTAGTACACGCCCAGGGTTACTGCAAACGGTGGGGGAGGGCGAGGGGGGAATGGCAGAGCTTAGGCCTCCAGGAAGGCTGGAGGATTAGGGAAACAGCACATAATTTGCTGATCACCAAGAGGAGGCAGGGTGCCGCAGTGCCTAAGGTAAACTAGTAGTAAATGGGCAGTTCGCAGCGACCTTCTAATGAAGGAACCGACTCTTATGATAGCGTAACTTTATAGCTTTGGTCGGGCTTGTCTACAAGAGGCGTAGAAGACAAAGGATCCCAGTGTGTCCAGATAACAGATTTATTAGCTTTTGACCTAGCTAGTCGGTGTCGGCAGGAGCCTACTGGCAGGTTTAAATTGACTTAAGGACAGAATTTATTTCTCGGTCTGTGTGCAAAGACATGGATACCGAGACTACTTCCTTGAACAAACCAACTAGAATCGAAGGCAGCAGAGGAGAGTCATAATCACTGTGAATGAGGGGTGAAGGGGTTTCACTGTTTTGCGTCTATTAGATCTAACACCAAGAAAAATAGGACGAGACAGTCTGGGCAACGTGGAGCCACGGAGCGTAGCAGACGAATTCATCGTTTGTAAGTTACCTTCAGTTTCGGATTGTCGTCCTACAATAGAAGAAAAACCGGTTCAGGGGTTAAGATTCTGAGTGAACTGTAAGTTGGCGTTCGTGTCCCAAGACTAGCAATTCTGGACATCCATAGGACTATAGTTCTGCAGAGTTAAACACCGAGTTGATTACCTTAAGCTATATATTAAGAGCAAGTTCGCCTGCAAATAACTAGTTTGCACGACAGCGTTAACTTCCCTTTCTCTTGAATTTATGATTAGATGAAGTGAATATTGGCGGTCCTTGGAGTCGTTTCGTGGACATTTGTAACACAAGGTCCGACTAGCACAACTCTCAAGGCCACCGCGCAGGTCACATATGAGCGTAAATGTAAAATACACACACGCCAAACTCTTGTGTTGAGAGCACATAAGCGTTGCGTGGCTTCGACAGGTGCCTTCTTAGGCTTATGGAAAAACAAAACCAGTCGTACGCCAAATGTGAATCTTGGACGGTAGCCCGATATCCAGTAAGCCACGTAAACCTTCACTAAGCAGCTGTACTTATTCCGCACGATGAGGTGATTGCCAAGGAAAGAAAACATGTTGAACATTACTAACACAGAGCTTGTAAATTTCAGACAAGGTGATCTAAGGCGAACTGTACGGATACAGGTCTGAGCTGACAAAATTACGGTTTTAGCAGAAAAGGGGCACAATATTAGAGAAAACACGACGCAATAAACTTCACGTTTTTGACTACCATACCTCGCCATCGTCCGAATCAACCTCGTCATTGTCGAAATCGTCATTGTCCTCATCCTCGTCATCGTCATCTTCGAGCTAAAACGAATAATTGAAGTATACAAAACATTACGTCTGTTTCCAAAGCCTCTCCGGTGAAGAAGAGAACGGCGCGAGGGATCACATATTCCCGCAGATGGTGACCAATTTTGAAATCTTCATGCAGCAAGTCCACAACTTCCTCATCCTATAGAAGTGACGGTTACAACAATGAAATGTGGAATTTTACCAAGTCCGGTTCTGTTAAAGACTCTTTAGGCGGATCGAAGAAGTTAAAGAAGGAGTCCCTCTTCACAGTTTTGGTAACTGTCCTAACATCCTTGCGGTTCTTGTGCTTTTTTACCTTCTTCATCACCTTTATGGTGACATTCTTTCCGGGTTTCCAGTTGATGGTGCAACTATTTCAAATATCATGGTAAAATGACTGTGTGAATGATATTTACCCATTACAACGTGAAATCTCCGGACCATCGTAGTCCAAAGGATTGTCCGCAGGGGGTTTTTGGTTAAAGAAGTATTGCTTTGTCAGACATTCGTTGGAGAAGTATTCGTTTGGGGAGAAGTGAAATTCCAGTACGAAACCCTGGCAAAGAATTGGCGTTTAAAGAATTCGCATTACCGATTCGTCGTCCGTGATCAACTTGCAGCGTACATCCTCCAAGTGGCTAAGAATGGGCTGGTCATTGTCAGTAATCATCTCCGAGGTTAGGCTGTTGTGGAGAAGGACCTTTAGCCAGAACTTTGGGATTCCTTTCACTTCGGTCGTCATAGCACTTTCCTTCGAAGTATCTGTCAAAAATGAACGTCGCAAAAACCTTATATGGGTTTGTAAAAGACATCCCGGATTATAGTTTTGTTGTTGGAGACTGTCTCGCCTGTAGTCCAGATCTGAGTTTTCCTACCACCGAAAATGACCTTGGGAAAGGACGCCTGACAATCAACATCCCCTCACAAATGTACAGAAAAGACAAAGACTGAACAACGTCTTTCGCATCTCTGATGGCTTTCCCAATTCTTGATTTAGCCGGCTCTATGTTGCACGTTAGAACCAACAGGAAGTTTACCCAGTCGGTCGGCAAATAACACAAACCGTAGGCCAAACGGCCCAAGATGTTCTCGCCAGAGTCAGCACTCAAACAGATGCAAACCGAAAACCTTCCTTCTAAGGTCGGCGTAGGATGTGACTGAACCATCTGATTCGGCGACTGTGGAGGACGCCGTTGACCGTCTGCCCTCCCGACTGACTGCATGTCTGTCCATTTTGAAGATTGTAGGATAAAAGTTCACAGGAAAGTGTGGGGGCGCAATAAGCGCATATACTCAAAGCACACATACCAGATGTTAAGCCTATATAGCAACTCCAGACAGGATTCACATACACTCGCCGTTTACTTGTGGATAGACCTCGGGCAGGTCTCATGGCTTCTGAGCTAATATTGACAACACCTGAGTAATATGAGATTCGATTTCCACTCCTTTATTGAAATCTGAAAGAGTCCGATTCAAGAGTTGTCGACTAACGCAAGAGCTTCGCCGTATATCGCCTCGGGGGGATATCTCACCAGGAAACACGAGGCGGTTGTCTTCCTATGGGAAATCCAAGCCTTACTTTGGCTGCCTTCAGACTCGTCTGGGACAGTCTGCTGCACACCTACACGTTATTGGCGTAAACAAGGCTAGAAAATCCGGGGTGGTGTGACAGTGGGTGTCGACGAACCAGTTCTGTAATGTAATCAGTAAGTGTAGAAGGGAACACAGCCCTGGTACGCATCGAAAATGACGTCAAAGATGCTACTTTTCTCAATATTCACGGGGATTTTGGTTCCTGTTTTGTATTAGAAGACTTAACTCATTGTGACTGTTTTATGACGTCATTAGGTCGCCCCAACTATCCTAACGAATCCAGGTGGATTGACAAGAACGTCAAAATTCGTCGACAAACGAGTGGTTTACCGGTGGCAGGGATACAAATGGACGGTTTGGCGTAGAAAGGTGACCATCCACACAGGCCTGCAGAAGGCCACATTGGATTTTCGTCGCTCGCACGATGTGACAAGGGCCAGATATACGCGGACCTCAGGGCGTTTCCTGACTGGACAGCAGCGGCCAACAAGTTCTGGCCTACATGGCTTATTAAGTGAGCATTTATCTAGCAGACGCTATAACTGAACCCTAAATAGCTGGTCTTTGACGCAAGGAGAATGTTGGACTGGCCTGACCTCAAAAGCTGGTGTGATCGCCTAATATCTCAAATAACTGAAAGACCGTCGGAGAATCAGGCATTTTAACTTCAAAATTAACAACGTCCGTGGCGCATAGTTTGCTCCAGCATGCCATTCAAGTCGTCCCGAAACCAAGCAATCCTGGCATTGTTAGGAGTCGAGCACGGACTGTGATGTGAAGACATCTCGGGAGTTAATGATATTTGTGTCTGTGTCGGGCGACAAGCAAACGCCAGTGTGTGGCAGTAACAAATTCACTGGGGTGGTGTTATATTTCCTGGCAAGTAAAACCATAACAAACAACAGCGAGCGTGACCAGCGCCATCCATGCTGGTCCGGTTTTAAGTGATCATGGTTCAAGTCGGGTGTCACCTAAGGCGTCGGAACCAAGTATTTTTGACTAGCAGGATATTGGTCGCGGTATCCACAATTCTCAAAGTATTGGCGCAGGAGATTCTCACTGCGAAGTGGTGAGGGAATTAACTCACAGACGTACTTCGCTATATCATTAAATAGGCCACCCATTTGGGAACACAAGTACAGCCCGTATGACGTCATTTAAGGCTATTTCGTACAGATCTTTTGTACTAAACATTGGCGCATACACAGCAACAATTGGCTTTGGCAATAACGCAATTAAAACGTACACTTAATATTCCGTCTGAAACGATTCAGCTATACTCGCAGATACTTACGCGCAGCCAAATTTTAGCTATTGCTAGTATTGACGTCAAAATGACCTACCCCCATCCTCCTTTTCATTTTTGTTAATTTGGGCCTGGCTTGACAGTGAGGCCGCAAGCTGAAGTTCCTGGAGATCGTCATCAAATGGCCACTCACAGTCCTCATCAGTGGGTTCGACAGCGGCCGAAATTATCTTTTTTCGCTAAAAGGGGAGATGTAAAAATTCAACGAGTCAGTTGAATATTTGGTAAACTCAGTACATAAAGCCTAAGAGGCGCTTCACCCGAGCCCCTGAGGGGAGATAAACAGACAAACAGCCGAATTCACAAAGCAATAGAGGCAAAAATCTAAATCGTCCAAACCTACATCAAATACTTTTATAGCACCAAGTAAGCTATTAGGTAAAGAACAGTTAAAGGGGTTACTATAAGTTGCTGATGGAAAATGGGAAAACGAAGCGAGCGACAATTACCTAAAACCAACCGTTTCAATTTTCGCACAGTACATACAAGAGACCCAGTCTACCACAGTGTCAGTGCGATAATGGGTGGTCCAAACTTCTCTTCAAAAGTTAACGCTAAGTGCGGGGAAATCGTGTGGGAAATATATGGTCTGGAGCAGCCAGAAACTGAACGGGCAACAGTCTGGGATCAAGTTTCGGGTCATACTGAGGGTTTAGCGTCAAGTCATAAGCATGCCTTTAGAAAACTCCCAACTTAGATTCCGCGCGTAACGATGTCGTTAACTAATATCAGGACAGAACATATTGAAGTGATGTCCTGTGGTTATGCTCGCTTTCTCTTGCAAACAACATTCACAAACGACAGAATCAGATCTTACTGATAACAGCCACTGTTCACCCATGACAATAAACAAAAGTCAGTGAGATGTGAGAACTTTGACAGGACAATGGACGGAAGTAACGTTCGACAATTTGTGAATTTTTCAGGGCCCGGTGCAGTACGGGACGATTTGCGAGTTATGCGTCAATGAACTTCGAGGTAGTAATGATCTCAGATCTCGATAAGAAGTTTGGACTAAGTCGTCGAAGCACGTAGGCGAGCAGCAGTTGGGGTAGGACAAATTGCAGCATCGGCGGCATCGGTGGCGTCAAAGGTCTACAAATATTACGGTTCGTTATTTTAATCCAAATTGCCTGGCATTCCCAAAGCCTACAAAGTGTATGGTGTCAGCTGAAGACTATAGACGTTGAGAAGTCTACAAGAGACAACGTCCCTCATCCAGTCGCTCGATTGTTTAGTCACACCGTACTCCTGCACGGAAATGCAACGGTGCTGCCACGTCTCGCTTGTCAGGACTTTTTGTGCCGAATATGACGTGACCCTTCGCAAATCTACGGGTATTCCGGATCGCACCATCATTCTTCGCTATAATTTCAGAACCACGCCGTCCAAGAATGCCGTCTGACAGGAAAGTTGGCATGTGGAGTTAAGCGTGGCGTAAAGATGGTCTTCGAGGCGCGTGAAAAAGATATTCGTCAGAGGTCGGTTGCGTTGCAACCCGTTGGAGCTGGACTCATTAGAGCACATAACCTGGAGCGGTAGGGATCGTGGAATGTACACTAGCCTTTAAATTTAACATCCCAACACTTTCTATATTGCATAGTTCCTTCACATCCTCTATACAGCCGGTACTGCCTACATAGTCTCGTTCTAGCGCAGTCCGACAAGTCAATTAGCGCAGCTAGGGGTTGACATAATTATTTTAGCAGCGAAAACAGCATTGCCGTCCCCGGGATGACATCGCCGGGAAAATAACTGAAGAGGATCCGTTTTAGAGTTGTTCCTCGCGAAATAATCGGATGGAATGACTCGACGACCAGGAAGATTGGGAATTCCTAATAAACAAAAGGTAGTGGACGTATCTGGCCTGGGGGTGCGCTCGCTTTAATTGATTTAAAAACTAAATTGCCTGAATGCCATTGTTCTGGCGTTCACTCACGGCCGAAAAACCAGCAAAGAACTCATGGTCCAGCCTTAACATGATCCGATTTCCTGCGTTCGTTCGCCCTGTGTTTTCGTACGGCCTCGGCAGCGGCACGTGAGTGATGAAACTATATAGTACTAAGTTCAATCTGTCGATTAGACATTGAAAAAGTAGTGCAGGGAGGTGTCTGAAAGATTTCGTCGAATGCCGCTGCCAAGTAAAACTTTATCTACAGCCGACATTGACTAATCCTGTTTGCAGTCGAGGTCTAGTTACGATGTAACATAAAAGGCTGAGAGCAAGCAACATTTACAATAAGGCTCGAAAACCCTAACCAGCAGTTGTTGTAAAAAGAAGATAATACCATATCCCACAGATCCGCATAGCGAGCTTCGTACTTCTTTTCGATTTCAAAAATTTCTTGATAGTACTCCGTCTCAATTCCAATGGCTTTGTGAAGGAGCTTCTTTAGGGCCTTAACACGACGCTTAACTTCGGCAGGTTGCCTTCAAAATTGGTTATTTGAAAGGATGAAGTACTTGAAAAACTCCGTAATGGCCTGGAGCTTTTCTGGAGCAATCACTCCCTCGCCGACAGAACCATCGTATTCATCATCACCATCTGCATTCAAATACTAATTTAAGGCCTTAATAGTTACCTTCAGAAACAGCTCTAGAAGAGTGACATATTTAAAATAGTGTACCTGTGCGTATCAGTCATGTTTCAGAAACAAATATGGAGCGCACTCACAGACCCAACACAACGTGCCTCCTTTAACCTGAAAGTAGCGCCTCCAAGCCGATCTACTAAAACCAGCGTTGATATCATCGTCACTACTCTCCTTTATTTCGTGCTATGGGTTGACAGTTCGTTATAAGTACAAAAGAAGTATTACAAACCCCTGGATGAGCACAAGTGTGGAACGGAGTTTAAACATTCAAGTGAGGAGCAATTACGTAGGCGTTTGTGGCCCCAGAATAGGTGGCGTAAGTGAGGGAACGAAATGAAACGTGGACATTATGCATCCTGCAGTCTAAGCAATACTTAATAAACTTCCACAGGCCCCTTGCGGGCAAATAATGCTTATACCAAAGACAATCCCGTGTGGATCGATTGGAAAGCCGATAAATTAACCTAAAGACACGAAACTGTGTCATGCAGCTGCACAATGTCGGCTACAAGTGTGTCTGGGTTTTTCCTAATACCTGTGCAGCCAGTGTGACAAACCACTCGAAATGGGTTAAAGTCTAATTTTTTAAACAACTGGCTGGTGCCTGCAGCCTCTTCTGGGCATAAGTTTGTAAACCGCAGAAAATAGGTTCTGCTCAGAAAGTTTCTCTTTAGATCGTATAAAAAGAAATAACTTCTTAAATAGTAATCAAATTACCAATAATAACACTTTTGTCCTTAGTGACCCAGGGGACACTATCAAAAGTATGCTATAACAGAGCCGGTTACTAAAATAAGCCACCGCAGACAGTAAAGGCTTGCGTGAGCGCCCACATGTACGGTAGAATTTCGAAAAATGTAAATATATAAAAATGGAAGGGTTTTTTTCTGTGTTATATGTAATCTCCGAAAGTACTGCACCGATCGGTGCTGTACAATCCAGCTGACCTGGTTTACAACGTGCATTGTCTGGTCCACCTTCACGAACATGTATCGCGGTTCGGAGTGTTAGGCAACTTCTCGGCTTTTCGCTTTGAGTCGTTTCTGCAAAACGTCCGCAGTTACATTAAAGGACCGACCAACGCAGCCGCGCAGGTGTACAGGCGCATTAGTGAAAGGCGCCTGCCTGAGTTGTCCACAGGTCCCACGCTGTTGGACGACGATGAGGGAGTGCCACGGTCTTTGCAGTTGCCCCGCAGCTCTAAGGCCATATTACACAACGGGTATCTTTTGTCGACCCAATCTCCTGACAATGTGGTACTTGTCGGCGATAGACCGTGCGTACTGACATCTGTGTCGGCTACAGGCATAGTTTACCGCCAGTTTGTTGATTGCCAAGACTGCCTGGATCCTGCATTCCCTTTCTCAAATTTACTCATTTTTAAGGCCTCCCTTTTCGACAGCAAACTTTCGAATGCTTCTCTTGATGACATTATTTGTAAATACGTTGCGCTACACCTGGACGGTTGTTTTTTCCTTATTCCCATGTTGCATACTTTTTGATTTTTGATCCCCCACTTTTTACGTTTTGCATCTCATAGACATTTTTCGGTTTTACATTTTGTGGACACTACTTAAAGATGAATGCGGTTGTTGAGTTTCTGAATGATAAATCTGTGGTGGCCGTGCCGAAGTGTTGGTTCTACAGCGATGACTGTGTGATGTGGGTTAAGAACCACAAGCTACGTTACCGTCTACTTGTGAATAACGAAAGGCCTCCAGAAGGCACAAAGATTTACCCGGTCCGTATGCTGAAGAATGACCTCTCACTCGACAGAGCGCTTCAGCTGGAAAAAAAGGCCGTAGACATTGACGATCTTTCCCACTCAGAGCCTACCGAATTAGGCAGAGGGATGAGGAAAAAGTAAGTGTTTGCTTTTCATTAATTTATCTTTGTAGGTTTGTCAGCCAGCTCACCTCAGACGACGAGGAGGATGATGATGATGAAGAAATAGCTGCGCAAAGACCGAGACAAGATAATCAATTAACTGCCTGGCCCACGCCGCCACGCATTCTCCAGTAAGAATCCGTGTATATTATGCCAAGTTTTAGACCACGCAATAGCTCGGAAAATACACCTTGGTGGAGAGACTCAAGCCAACCTATGCCACCAAGGGCTAATCAGTACGCCGTTTCTTTTAAAGTTTACTTAAGGCTGCCCCGGGAACCCAGCACGACCGCGTTTGACAAACGGTTATCACAGGTGCAGCACGATGTTGAATGCGTCCGGTAAGACTGTTCTGACTCTTGATGACATGCGAGTAGAAAGAAAGTTGATTACGTTGCTGAGGAACTCGTCGAACTACGGGCTGACATAACGCAGGTTAAGGCTACAATGGCCGAAATTTTAAAGGGCATTCAGGAATTGCGTCTGCCAGCTGAAGCGAGGCCTCCTTCACTGAAGTTGCCTCTGTGTACGAAGGAGGCTTACAAGGCTTTCGTCAGTGAGCTTGAGAAGAATGCTAGTTTCGCTCAAGATGCGGTATGTACATATACTGATACTTCTTTATTTGAATGGATTGTAGATTAAACGTCTGGCGATTACAGACGGGCGAAACGAGAAAGAGTTTGTCAGAAATCTGCTGACCACTCTACTCGGCCACCCCCTATGCCTCAGTTTCTGCTGGGGCGGAGCAAGAGATAAGCAGGCCTTCGTCGGCAGCCCCCTTTATGGCCTTGTTATTGGTAGGATATTTATTTTTAAGATTACTTGTTCGGCTGCAATTCGTGAACATGCCGCCTTCTCAAATTGCACCGTTGACACGATTCGCAAGAGTACAATTGATTGGTTCCACGGCGCGCGTGACAGATACGGTGGCCGATCAAAGCGGAGAGACAATACCACTGCAAATGCCACGGTAAATTAATTGACTTGAGTCTTTATAAGCCACTTTCAGCTTCCCGTCAGCTACAGCTCAGCCGAAGAATATATGATACAATCTACTTCCGAGGACACTGTAAGTGAGCGTTTCTTTATATCTATTAAACCTGCATTTATTCGAGCCTATCAACTTCTAACTACTTAAGATCATAAAATATACTACTAAAATGCCTTATTTCAATAGTATGTTTTTTGACAATTTAATTAATAGGACGCTGTGCTTTATTTGATTGTAGATACCCGCCACCGACATGGACGGATTACCAAATATGTCCCTTGAGGAAACATTACAGCTTGTACATATCAAATTTTTATCTTTATCGATCAATAAATTTTCTTTAACCTATAAATTGCGTTCAAGTGTGCTGATCGATATGGTTCCTTGGGGGGTTCGCAATCACGCGTGAAGGTCCGCTAACGGTCGCGGGAGATATTGGCTTTGGGAAGGCGAGCCGGAATGAAACATGACATATTTGGCGAAGTGGGGTTCGCTAGAAGGTAACAAGGGATAAAATAGGACAGATACCGGGAAAATCTGTCTAGGAAAAGGGTGATCAGGATTATAACGCGAGTAATTAGACGTTAATGGATCGTTATTACGGTCAGACAGTCTAATATGGCCGTGGGTGGGGGCAAAAAACGATAACTATAAGGAGTCCCCCTGCGCATTTTTTTGTCGATGAGGGGGCCAGAGGCGGCCACATCGGGGATTTGCCCCGCCATAGCCCCCTCTCCAGCCCCTCCATAGCCCCCTCTGGTCCCGCCATAGCCCCCTCATGGGGCGGGGCCATGAGGGGGCCAGAGGGGGCTGGTGCTGGCAGGGGATTGCGCTGAAATTTGGACACAACACAGCCAGCGCATAGGGCCGGGTTTTTGTCTGTTCAGTTGTGTAATTATGCCGATGGTATGCCTGTGATGGGTAAAAAACCGAATTTTTTCCGGCATAACAACGCCACCTGCTGCGGGCCACTTGACCCGCATTCACGCGGACACATGTGCGCCCAGACTGCGGCTACTTGACCGACATTCGCTCAAACGCACGTGCTCCGCCCGACAGCCGCGCTCACCCCACCACCCACCCTGTAGGCACTTGAGCAGGCCCTCCACCCTCTCTGGGCCGATGCGATATAGGCAGCAAGGCAAACCACCTCCCCCCTGCAGCAAAAAAAACACGCAACTCTTGGGCTCCACTTGAACTTGCCCCACACTATCCACCTAATGGGGCTGTCACCGCTTTCGCCGGGATTCTCGGGCGCGACGACTGGATGCAGTTAACAAAGCCCCATTCCCCCTCCCCCGCACAATCCCACATAAGGGTACTGTCACCCATTGTCAGCCCAGTGTCGTACAGCCCGGTTTGCGGAAGCCCGGTTGCGGTCACAGCTACCGCGTTCTGCAGCTTGAGGTCTGCTTCGTTCAGCAACAGGATGAACTCTACAAGCTGAAAGTGACTGAAAGACGCCAGCGAGGAACAGCGGGCCAGCGTCCAACACGTCTCTGTGCTCAGCATTCAGCCTGCGCTCTGAAGAACACATTCATTTGCGCGATGCTGTTGTGAACGACGGTGCGACAACATTCGTGGAAGACTAACGATTTTGCCATCCAACATATACCGGCCGTTGGAGACCGATTTCAACACAGTATCCATTTACTTTTCGGGATGGTGCCGATGGATATCATTTCAACGTTAGGATGATAAATCCAGTCAGTGACGAGGTAACGCACATGAAATGCAGCTCAATGAACTACTACTCCTACCGACTTATGATTCGACAGAGTGTAAGTAATCCCCCTTTTAAAATGCCATCATTTGCATTATCATTGCATTGTGAATACGAATACAAAATATCGAAGCAGAACGCCTGCTTTTCATTCGCTTGAATCAGACCAAGCTGCTCTCTGAAGAATACATTAATTTGCATGATGCAGTTGTAAACGATGGTAATAGAGATAACGTTGTAAGACTAACGATTTTGTCATCCACATATACAGACAGTTCACGTCATATGTTCGAGTACGCTCGAGGTACAATTGCTTACGTTTGTCAGTACGGGCGTCCAGACCTACTCATTACATTCACATGCAATCCAGCTTGTGGGGATATTTATCAGCTTTCACTTCCTGGGCTATCGTCGGTGAATAGGTATGACATCACAGCACGTATTTTCAGGAAGAAAATGCAATCAATGATGAACTTCATGGTGAAACACGAGATGGTTAGGTCTGTGCGCCGCTGGATGTATTAGCTGAAACGGCAAAAGCGGGGACTGTCCCTTGCACATGCATTGATCTGGCTCTATAACAAGATCACTTCGAAGGAAATCGACGATGCAATGTGCGCTGAATTAGCTGACGCCGACGTCGACAATGCTTTGCAGGAAGTTGCGGCGAAGAATATGATACATAGACCTTGAGGTGCACGAAGTCCCAATCCCCCCCTCATCCCCCGCATGACAGACGGAAAATGCTCTCAGAGCATTCGCATGCAACACAGTTACCGGTAACGACCGAAGTCCCTTATACCGAAGACGATCAGCGGAAGAATTCGGCAAGTTGGCAACCGTACGAATCGGTGACATACAAGCCGGTAACCGCTGGGTTGTTTCGTACTCGCCTTTGCTTTTAAAAGCAAACGCAGCTCGCATAAACGTGAAAAACTGCAATTCCGAGAAATGATTTATGTACATTTGTAAGTACGCGAATAAAGGCAGCGACATGGCCGTTTTCGGCATGCAAAAGGAAAGGAGAGAAAGGGATGCGGGCATACAAATCGATGAAATCGCGCATTATTTGCTTGGACACTATCGATTGTCTGGACAGAACAGCTCTGTGGTGCTAAACCAAAGCCTTGCATACTCATACCGCTGATGCGGATGACTTTCATAACATTTTACTGCAATCATCTGTTCTCAAGTTTTGGTTCCACATTTTCACGGAAAATATTATGTTAGATGCATATATTACTGACAACATTTCAGTACCATATTTATTTAAAGTGAAATATTGCATGTACAGTTTACAATAGGGTTTTCAAAGGCATTGCCTATTACTCTTAAAATATACTGACCTATACTGACCTATTGGGCTGGAAGATGCGTCAACGGCAACAAATCCGTGTGGCATATTCTTTCATTCCCTATCCATATGCAAGTCCAGGTGCTGCTCACTTGCGGTACACTTAGTGAATGGGTAATGCGTTTACCGATGCCAATGTGCAACAGACCACCGGCAGCACACTAACTGCGTTCTTCCCGTTCCGCCAAACTTACGCGATTGTGAAAACCCTGCCGTATTCGAAAGTGCCTACAGGGAATGCGTGCAGAAAATCTTTTGTACGACGCAAACTAGAAGAGCGAGTGGACGGACACCTCGGTACACTCAAAGAACTGCAATACGCAGACTGCACAGCGTGCATCCCAATCAGGACGAATGGTTCTTACTCCACACGGTGTTGGTGAATGTGTCCGGTTCAACGCCTTTCCAGACGTTGAAATCTGTCAACGGCGTAACGCACGCCACTTTTCGCAGCGCATGCCAGGCTCTCAATTTATTGGAAAGCTACGGATACCGGGATGTATGTATTTGTGTTGCTTGTAACACGTCCCATCCACATCGAATTCGCTCATTGTTTGCAATCTTACGGACCGCCCGCTCTACTTCATCTCCAACAAATTTTGTGGGAGAAACATAAGTCGCACATGGCTGAGGATATCGTCCGTCGACTACGCAAGGAATATTCCAAATGCGGATTTCACAGCAGAAATCTACACCGAGGCGTTAATAGTAATTGGGGATATGTACGTAAGAATTTCCGAAATCAATTCCTAATCAATCGGGAACGTCCTCATCAAACCGGTCTTATTATGTTTCGTTAGATGTGGATTTGCGACGTGAGCAAAAAACGCTCGAGGCTCTCGATCGAACACTGCAAGATGTGCGTGGAAACAGCAGACCATTCGGAGACATTACTGCTATGGCTTGCAGGATACTTCAGGCAAACACTGCCTGTAATTCCTCCATCGGCAACAGCAGACGAAATAAATGCGTCTGAAATACTTTTCTCTGTGGCGCCAAATCCAGACGGTAAAAGTATGCGTGTCCAGCTGCAAAACCACCGATCAGCTGAGGTATTCTCATAGTAATTGCAGGCAGGCAACGGTGCCCACTGATCCCACTACAAGAAGGATTTACCTACTTCTTAGCCGCGGCAATTTAGTGTCCTCAAAAGAGGAGTTGGTTGAAAAGGTGCTTCCCACTATTCAGACCACTTTCAACAATCACGGCTGATTGAGCGAGCGAGCTATTCTTGCGACCAAAAACAAACACGTGTACCATAATTACCACATTGTTACGTCTAAGATTCAAAGCGAGGCAGTCACATACACGTCCGTCGATACTGTTGCAGAAGCAGACGAGGCAAGCTAATTATCCAACAGAGATTTTGAATTAACCCGAGCCACAGCAACGCGTGGCCGGGTCCGGCTAGTTATTAATAAAAGTCGATAAAAATGTCAAGACCGCAGGTTATTTGGCGTTCCGATAGCCATACTGTAGATATTAATGTCCTAAATTCCCAAGTCAGAAGTTTGTTGGGTAAAATATGGAGCTTCGAAGGGAGCAGTTAAAAAAAACAAAGGCAAATTTCACTTTAAATAAAATGTGAGCAGAGAAAAAACAAGGCAAGAAGGTATTTCATGATTGTTGGATGGAAGCCTAGGGATGTTAGGCGGTGGCACATTCAGAATGAGACGGAAATGGGGCTCAGAGCTCAGAGGCCAGAGAGGAATTCTGATGAGCGTCGGCGGTAAGCGAAACAGAGGCAATATAGAACGGGCACATCACTATGACACGGCTACTTCTCTGGGGAGAATTATCAGGGAGGCCATCGCGTTTCTAGAAGGATATGATGTGCGGACTGAAAAGACGGGAAAATTGGTGTTCCTGGTGAGAGATTCTAGTAAACGGGAATACATACAGTGGAACAGAGATAGAAATGAGAGCGGTTACGGTAATTCAGCGGCGAGGTCTTATGTTCCCGATGGTCCTTGCCGAAAGTCATGGAGAAAGTTGCCCAACAAGGATGAGAAGAAATCACAGATTAATCGAGTCAGCATTCAAATAAAAACTTTGTCTTCCCCTAAGGTATGTAGATCATTTCACGATCTTATAAACAAACAAATAATTAAATGATTAATTTTTATCAAAAACCTGTCGGGGTCCCATCAAAGAAAGTAAAAATAAATTTACATACGAATTTTGGACGAGGTAGGCAGAATCTGCACACAATGCAATTCATAGTTTCTGAATTAGTAGTCCGTTGGTAAAAAGGACTAGCGAGAGGTAAACAATTCCACTGAAAAATTTAAAAATGATTGGATTGATTTTACAGGAGAAAAAACCCTCGCAAAATTATAGCACAAAAATGGGGGGCAGGACTGGCCTGCATGTAGCAGTATATAACGAATTATAATCGAACATCGTCAGGGCAGAAATAAATGTCAGCCTTGAGGGGTATGCATGCGGGTCGGACAGGACTGGCCTACATGTGGTATTGTATACGGCATTCAGAACTGACATAGTCAGGTCAGGATTGATACGCCAGATGAGACAGTTCGCGTTAAGGAGGCCAGACAAGAGGAACCCAGACACGAACGCCCACAGTCTGCTTCGAGCCCAGCCGAGGAGGTACTACCAAACTACTAGTAGACGGCGAATACAGAATGTTCCGTCGTGGAGATCGACTGACCGCTTTAGGTCAAAGTGAGGGAGACGGCATCCAGAACCGCGAAAATCGTCGCTTTGGGGGAGGAGTGATAGCAGTGGATATAGAAACCTGTAGTGGACCGCCATAGTGGCAACGCTGCGCCTCTCGCTAGCGCCTGCACCTACGTCCTAGCGGCAGCCTGCTATGGCGCGCACGTCTACCCGACTTCGATTTGTCTCGTTGCAATTCACTGTCTGCACCACGCATCTGGTCGATACTCTGCCTGAACCATGCGAGGCTTCTCACAACCTTCGCATGGGCTTGGAGCCAATCAACGCACTTACTATCGCTGATTGGTAAGACAGGCGAGCACAGCCAGACCACTAGCGTAAACAATCTGCTACGACACTTTTGCAGCGGCGACCTTCGGCGACACACGGCTCGTCGCTCTTGCGGACGCCGTCTTCGCGGCGCCGGACGCACCCTCGTCCGGTTGGCAACTTCCCTTCACTATTCTGTACAGAATAAATAAAATCTTCTCTCCAACTGGCATCTCGCGTCTTACAACTTGGGATATGGCCTGAAGTTGTGGCGTACTGAGCGTACACCATCACCGCTTAGCCGCTACAAACCAATTCAAAGAGGGTTTCTAATGAAATAATTGAGGTTTTCCACTTGATCTACCACAAAATCCCAGGAGGACCCTCCTCGAAGTCAAGAAGATGAATGTTCGGGAATGAGGCCGTTAAAATTTTCTTTATACTTTCCGGTGTAATGTGTTTGAGTAATGTCGACTAAAGTACCACTAACTTAGGCGATGATCTTATTTCTCGTGGAAGATTATTCCAAAGGAA